CCATTTACCATATAATTTGGGAGCATCGCCTAGAAATGTCTTTTTTGACATCTCATAATATTTTACAGGTGGCATAAAAATTGTCTCATCTTACTCTGTTTCTACTTGTTGTAACAGGAAGCAGAGGGAGCTCTGGTGGTCACAGCCTTACCAGCCACACACCTGCATTCAGACCTGTGAGTGCGCTCAGGTTTTCTTTTAATCATCATTAAAGTCACTGCTTTACAGCTTCACAGATGAGTTTTCTTTGTTTTCTTCTCCATGCTTACTGAAGTGAGCACTGTAGAGGAAGGTAAGAATAGACTACATTAAACTTGAATCGTTCTATAACTGATCTGACCTTAATTATCTGTTTTTCCAACCACAGAGGAAGACTTAATAGCCATTGATGACAAATGTGTGGAAGCAGGTAAACCTTTACCTTCCATTTACTGTGTAATGTGGCTTTTATTCATCTTTTACACACAAACTAACTAACCACACAAAAACGTCTTTGCTTCTCTGTCTTTAACTTGTGTCTATTTGTGTTTCCTGCCCCGATAGACGAGGAGGCATTTGATTCTGGTAGGTAAGTCTTTGCTGATGTAATCCGTTCTGTCCCTGAATTTGTTTCGTGCCCTTCAAAGGAAATTTTTATTGTTGTTTCTTTTCCAAACGTTCCTGCTGCCTGATGGGGGAATGTCAGAGGAGCTCAGAGAAGGTGAGAAAAGCTTAAAGAATTGTGTTCTTATCTGCCTCACAAGAGTAAATTTATACATTTCTTTAATTTAATTTAATTAAAAGAGCAGATCTCCTGACTTGTTATGGAGATAGGTCACATGTTCTTACTTGGACTGATATTAAATCATATATTAAAACAATAAAATTCAATAGTACAGGAGCCTGTATAGAAACACAAAATATGAGTCCTCTGTTTTATAATTGGTGTGTTGCATTTTAAGAAATGTAGCACTTGGTGTTTTTGTAGCTTATCGCCGGGGTTTTTCTTCTGCCGCAGACTTTTTTTTTTCTGTTAATCCAGCAGTGCATCATAAATCCCTGAAGTGCTGCTTAATTTGCAGAGGTATTTTAGACTTTCCTGTAATTTACATGTGGGAAATGGAGGCTGACGCAGTTGCTTTGGTTGATTTCAGGTCAAAATGATGCACTGTATTATTTTGCATGCTTTCTTTTTTTCATGTTTGACATTTTAGTGTGTAGGGCTTTTATTGGAGTCATTAAAAAAAATAACCAAGATTTTTACAAAAAGACGAGCCTAGCATTAAATGGTAGATAAAAAGGAGACCTTTTCATATGCTCCAACTTGCTTTGAGCAGCCATCTAGCCCATATGGTGATATGACCAGTGAAAGTTTACCCAAAATGCACTTTGAAATGATGCTTCTTTCTGTTCCTCCACTCTGATCTAGGGATATGACTCTCAGCCTGGGTGCAAGAGGTTAAGTTGAATCCCGGACTAGCCCCCAAAAGTGTTAGTTCTTACATCCATGGCTCAGAGAAACATTTGAGTAGCAAGTCTAAGAATTTTTAAATAATACAAAAATAATTTCTCACAAAGAAAGCAAATAAGAGAAACTGAAACAAACTCACATCGCTTCATCAGTTTGATTGCTGTTGCTCCCAACTCACCAAAGCAAATTTCAAAAAGCAACTAAAGCCAAAGGTTGATGCTGATAGAAGAGAGAGAAAGAGCGGCCCATAGCATAGCTGCATCTGGCTTTATATATGCAACTGACCTTCAGGTTATTAACAATGACAGAAAAAAGAAAAACATGGTAGTAAACGTGCTGGCTCAGCGAGGCACATGTAACAGTCTATATAGTTTTTGCGATTGAAAGATAGTTGAGTTTTGCGATTGAAAGTGTGGTATATCCCGTGATACTGCCTTCGCAGATGGTTATAGGAAAAACAAATTAAGTCTGGGCCATAAATTGTGAGATTTATATTTCAATGTAAAATTGGTTTGATTGCAGTTTTACCAGAGGTACGAATTTTTCAACATAATATTTAATAGTAGCTCTGGAAAAGCAAAGAAAATCAAGTGTAAGCATAAAACATTGACACAAAGCAGCTTGCAAAGTACCCCATAACCATAGCACAAATCCTCTGTTATAATTTGTAACAGGTGTGTTGCATTGTGGGAAATGGGAAAGATCCAGTGTTTTTGTGGCATGAACCACACCAAAGACTAAATACTGTATGTATGCTTATCTGACTTTTTTTTTTTTAATCCAGCAGTGCATCATAAATCCCTCAAGTACTGTTTGAATTTGCAGAAATATTTTAGACTTTTCTTTGTTTCAGGGTGGAGGCTTTATGGGACACGCGGGCTGACGTAGTTGCTTTGATTGGTTTAAGGTCACAGATAAAATCCAATCCTATGTATCTCTGTCTCGCTCCTCACCAACACACATTGGCTATCATCTGGACTACCCAGGAACAACTTACAACTAATAAATCTAATGTAAAGGGGAAAAAAAGTGTATATATAGCAACTTTAAAACTTAAAGTTCCCACATTATTACTTTAACAGTTACTATGCATCCTTGGACTCTGGTATTGCTTAGTTTTCAGTAATTTCAAGTAAAAAATTATTAACAAAACCATTTGGGGGTAATTTGACCCTAAAATAAAAATAATTGAAATACACAGAAGACTAGCTGTTGCAGAGATGTAATCTTCCCAGTGTGTCCCGGGCCTCCATTCCTTTCCTGAAACATCTCATGTAGGAGGCACCCAGGATGCATCCTGATAAGATGTCTGAACCATGAGGAGTGGCTCTGCATTATTCACTGTGTTTTGCAGAATTATTTTTAATTACGCTGTGTGCAAACGTGTATTTTTTACATCTCTTTTATTGTTGTTACTGATCTTTTTTCCACGTCTCACCGTGTTACATCCTGCTTTTTTTTTTAATCCAAACCAGAGGAGGATGACTTTAGAAGCAACGTTGAAGGAATATATTTAGGTAAGCCTTCTCGAGCAGCAGATTATTTCTCTTATAATGTTGCTCAAACTTGTTGGTATATTTAGAGTTTAGTTCTGTTTCTGTGTGTGTTGTGAATCCATTTTTGAGGGTTATCTACTGACATCTGTTCTTTTTCATCAGCGGGCTTTAGGCGCAGCATGCGTCTGTGTCGGCGGCGGGCTCACAGCACCACCCAGCCGTCCTGCAACACCCGTTGCCCCAACAGCTGCTACAGTGCCCTCAACAGTCCATATGAGGAGGTGGTTCGTTACCAGCGCCACCCGGCGGATATACACCGCCTCATTGTCCTCTTAGGTACAGAAAACATTTCAGTCCTTTAGTTTAGTTTACCAAACATCTACACTCATAAGCCTTTTAGATACACCTTGATAGAATCAGGGTGGGTGCTCTTTTATCTTCAGAGCTGTCATAATTCAACAAGGTGCTGGAAACACTCCTCAGAGATTTTGGCCCATACTGACATGACAGCGCCACACATTTGGTGCCGTTCAAATAACCAGTATGAGATGATTTGAGATTTGTGTGAAATGGTGTGTTATCCTGCTGGAAGGAGCCATAAGACGATGATGATGCTCAGTTAGTACTACTGGCTCAAAGTGTGCCAAGAAAATGTCCTCCATACCGTTACACCACCACCACGAGCTGGAACTGCTGATAAAAAGGGAGGATGGATCCATGTTTTCAGACCAGGCAACATTTTTCTAAACTCTGCATAACTTGGTTGTAACAAGTGGTTATTTGAGTTACTGTTGCCTTCCTATTAGCTTGAAGCAGTCACATAGAAAACTGCGACAAACTGGATATTATCTCTTTTTTGGATTATCCCCTGTAAACTCTACAAATTTAAGTTTAAAGAAAATCCAACTAGATCACCCATTTCTGAAATCATCAGACCAACAGCCATACTTCATTCAAAGACACTTAAATCATCTTTCTTCCTCATTCTGATGCTCAGTTTGAACTCCAGCAGGTCGTCTGGATCATGTCTAAATGCCTAATGTAATAACAAGCAGTTGAATGAAAGTATATACAAACAATTAACATGTGCGTGCTTTTTCAGGTCCATCTGGTGTAGGTGTGAATGAACTTCGAAGGCGTTTGGTTGAGATGAACCCAAACATCTTCCAGGGACCAGTGCCATGTACGTAATCATCTTTTCAGTCACAGACATCATGAAAGATTTTAATCAAATTCAAAAAAAATATTAAAAAGCAGAGTTACCTGAGAAATCCTAGGCATTTTCTTCTTTCTGGGCTCTTTGTGGTTTTGTCTCAGATTCTGTAATAATCAGATTAAATGGTTGATTTTTCTTTTTTCCTTCTCCAGACACTACAAGAGCACCCAGAGGATATGAGGAATCGGGCAGAGAATATTTCTTCGTCAGCCGAGAAGTCTTTGAGAACATGGTTTATCACAACAGGTACAGCTGTCTGCACATCCATAAGTGACACATTAAAACTTTAATGAAGTTGTGGAATGTAGATGGAACTGATGAGAGCTTAGCCACAATCGATAGATTTTAGCCCCACTGTCTCTGTCTTTTTTTGTCCGGCAGGTTTCTGGAGTACGGCGAGCACAAAGGGAACATGTACGGCACCAGCATCGAGTCTGCAAAGAAGGTTTTAAACAGCGGCAAGATCTGCGTCATCGACATTGAGCCAAACGCAAGTCCAACTCAGACACAGTAAAGAGAGCCAATAGATAAATAAAAGTGTTTTCATGTAAATTTGTATATCCTTGTTTAGGCCCTCCAGGCAGTGAGGACACACGAACTGAGGGCCTTCGTCATCTATGTTAAGCCTCCGACTCTGGAGCGCCTCAGGGAGACGAGACAGGACTCGTACATCACCACCAACTACTACGTCAACCGGCCATTCAAAGTATGACGCTGGGCTTAGTTGTCTGGTTAAAACGTCCACTCTTAATTTGGAGAAAAAAATGTTTCTTTTTCCTAATAAGATAATTATTTACATTTACATGTGATTGCTATCATCCAATAGAGCATTACAAAGATATTGGTACACCCCAAACACACACAAGGGAAGGGATTTGATTTGGGAGGTCTCAAATTTTATAGGAACTTTTTCTTTATCCCCAACTTGACTTCTTCTGTTTTAATTAGAATAGGCAAAATCTATATTGGCCTATGAGACCTCCTACTCATACAGTAGAAGTAGTCTTATCTTTGGTTTTACTTCAGGATGAAGACTTCCAGGAGATTGAGGAAGCAGCACGGAAGATTGAGTCAAACTACTGGCAGTTCTTTGATCATGTGATCATCAATGATGAGCTGCAGGACTCCTGCGTTGAGCTGCTGACAGCAGTGATGAGGGCACAGGACGAGCCACAGTGGGTCCATGCCAGCTGGATTCGACCCACGTCAGAGTCCTAGGAGCAAAGTAGAGGAGAGGACGTCGGGTCAAAGCAGTGATTTTTTTTTTCTTTTTTTACTGTACAGTTTTAAAACATGAAATTGTGACATGTAAATTCAGTGATTGCTTTTCTAAATATACTCGTGTGTGTGTTTGTGTGTGTGTGTGTGTCGCATGTGAGCTGGACTTTAAGTCTCTTCAAATCCCCAAAGATGAAATGAAGCTGGATCCAAGCTCAAAGAAATTCCTGAATTTGTGTCCGTTTGTCACAGTTTTGTTTTTTTATTTTTTCAGTCAGCAGGAACATATTTAGCACCTCTTCAACTAAAGACGCCTGCAGGACCTAAATTCAAACACAACTGCCTCTTTTCCTGCCCTCCTCCCTATTCTTGTACACAGACCTCCAATAAAAGAAACGTATATCTAAAGCATGTTTGTCCCCTTTGGCCATAAATGATTTCTTGATCCATTCCAGCCTAAAATGACACATTCTCATGTCAAATGGTGGGTAAAATGAACAATTAACGTAAATAAACAAAAACAAAAAAGATTTGTATTTTTAAAGGTATGTTACTGTACACCCAAAGCACTGATGTTTGCTAATCCTTGAAAGTTAAAAAATAAATAAATAAATAAATAAATAAATAAATAAATAAATAAATAAATAAGATTAGCAGCCATGGTTAAAACAAACAATCACACACACACACACACATTAAAAAGGGGGAGGGGCAAAGTAGTCTTCAAAACATTATTAATACCTGGAAGTTTAAATTTTAATACATTTTTTTCATTTTATTTTTGCTAAACGTTAAGCTACCGGAAATGCGTCATACTATTCCTAAATACATCCGGGCCACAACCCCGCCGCTCAGTGAGCGTAAACAAAGCAAAAAAGGAAAAGAAAAATCAACAAAACAGCGATTTATTCGCTTTAAACGACTGAAGCGAATAAAACAAAGTTACCAGCTGCATAATATTAAACGGGTTATGGATACAGGAGGAGCAACGGTGAGAGATATGCACACATAATGCATGAACAGTCAACATAACGGTCGTATTTAAATGGATGGCGTGATTTGCTCCTAACTGTACCTGTGGGGGGCAGAAAGCTCGTTTTCTGGTTCACTTTAAGGGCTGTTTTCGTGTAATCTCTCTCTGAGCTCTAATAAGAGCAAAAATGATTATAGTAAAGAGCAGACAGTGTTTGTAACCTGCCTGTTTTCTGTGTAGACGCGGAGGGTGAGGGAGCTGCCGCCTCTCCCACAGGTGAGTAAATCAAACCTCATCTGAGCTAACAGCTCTGTAGCTCCTCTGTAATAACTCTTAATAAAAATCAACAAGAACCTGTTGATTTGTCACGTGGTGGCTGGTTTTTATTCATTTTATTCACTTTATGTTATTTACACATTTATTTATCCAGACGTTTTCAGTCTTAAATTATGAGAAAAAGGTTATTGATAGAGAAAATATTGAATCAGTAGCTTATTAGAGAAATAGTAAAGTGATCCACACTTGGTTTTACATTTCCTTTAATAATAATAAGTTTTCTTTCTGTAGCACCTCGCAAAATGTACTAAAATCATTAAGACATTAGAGACATACAGTCCTGTGCAAAAGTGTTGCGCCACCCCTCAGTTTTTTTTCTTTTGTGCTCTTAAGCAACAACTTATTCAGTGAAACAGGAGAAAGTTGAGTAAAAGCACCCAGAGATCTGATAAACTCGTCACACAGACTTGAACAATCAGACTTGGTGAATTTAAAGCCTGTTTTTAAGAGATTTGGTTTTTATTTCTGAAAAATCTTAGTGATTTCCTTCTCGGTTTACGTGAGATGAAGTACTTCCTGGATGTTTTTACTCACCGACACACTCATAAATACACACTGCCGCTCCAAGACGCTGAAAAAGGGGCTTGACCTGTGCTCGGAGTAATCCTCAGTCCTGGCAGATGTACTAACACAGATTTAGCCGAGGATAAAACAGTCAGGATGTCATGTGTCACTTAACTCCTGTCTCGCTGGTTTCTTGGGGGAGAAATGGCCAGAAAGACGCCGGTAAGATGCTTGCTTCGGTTGTTTTATCCAACTCTGGGTTATAACTAAAAGTTCTTGAACTTTTTATGTTAAAATCTTAACTTTTTCATTGGTTATGCAAGTGCTGATGGCTTAGATAATCTCTTATAATGGGCTTATCCTGTTTTGTAAGAGCAGCCATATCACTTTCAGGCAGTTTGTGTCTAAATTTCGAAATTACGTTTCTTTGGTTCTTGTGTTCTTGTGACTGAAGGAGTGATAGTTATTACATATGTTTAAGATGCGTTTGATGGCACCAAAAAGCTTTCCAGTCAGATTTTCTCAGACTCTGGTGTGTCTAGTAGCGGTGTATACCAAAGGGTCAGTTTTAGGGTCTTGTTCTTGCAGGATTTCAAATAAAAAGGTCATAAAAAGTGTTTAGTTTTGTTTCTAGATTTACTAGAATGTGTGCATAACTTGTGTTGTTCTGTTGGTATGGACAGAAATTCAGAAAATATAACTGTAGGTCTTATTATCCCAATTATTTTTACATAGGTTTCTTTTTTGGTGTGACTGATTTGGGAATGAAAAAACTGCATTTAATGTGTTAAACGTCAACACAAATCTATAAAAGAAGGAATAAAAATGTTCTTTAGAGGGGTTTTTATGAGTGAACAAAGGGAGAAATCTGACTTCTGTGTTTCACTGTGTCTCTCCAGAGAGGCCAGCGATCTCTTCCCACGATGTCGAGGTGGGTAAACATCTTCATTTCAAGCAGCTACTGTGGTGTAATGCTAAATGACCTATGAAGCTTTTTTTGCCATGCAAGAGGGGTGTGTGTGTGTGTGTGTGTGTGTGTGTGTGTGTGTGTGTGTGTGTGTGTGTCTCAATGATCCAGGAGCATCCCGGTGACAGTCTTTGTGTTTTTCCGCA